CACTCCTCGCTGAGGCTCAGGTTCTGCAGAGACTTGTTCAAGCTCCTGGCAGTGGTCACCGAGCGGATGTTTCCATAGGAGCTCACGGAGCGGAGCCTGGGGGTGCACGGACTGTCCCGCACGGGGGTCAGGCTGCCGCCCTCTGGTGGAAGAAAGAACAGGGCCATTAGTGATGGACTGTAGGACAGTGGGATGACAGGAGTGACCACACAGGGGCCTGACTCAGAAGAGCCCACACTGCAGAGAAAACAAAGCCAGACACGGAGCAGAGAGCAGGCCGGATGGGGAGGCAGGGAGACCCTAACCCACGGCGATGCTTTCTTAAGTTACAACATGGAAAGGAGCTGATGCCCGAGGCCTTTCACTGGCTCTGCTGGGGTGGGTGTGTGTGGGCCCACCCTGGGTGCGGGGCTGGGGGCTGCTGGGCTAGGGGTGGCAGTGGAGACAAAGGCATCCTTCACCTCCAGTTTCTAGTGCGCACTGTTCATGTGCTCGTCTAGGGCTCGGGTCTACTCAGTGCCTCAGAAGAAAGGCCTGGTACTCTACTACCAAGCACACAGCGGGTCATTGACCACTCTTCATGCGGCCGTGCTTTGGGGGGGCTCTTGATAGGACACAGCAGGAAAGGTGACTGCATCTCCAGCAGGAAGGACGAGGTGAAAAGGGGGTCCAGGGACTCAGCTAGCCTGGGGGACATGGTGACGGTGAGGACAGGGGGGAAGGACAGCTGTGCACAACCGTCTGTGGGGCCCACAGCTCAGAGCTGGTGTCTCAGCACCTCCGCCGAGGGGGGACAGGAAGGAGAAGGAGGCCCATGTGTTATGACCCTCTGTGGGGCCCACAGCTCAGAGCTGGTGCCCCAACACCTCCGCCGAGGGGGATAGGAAGGCCATGTGTTAGGACCCACTGAACGCCAAAGGGCTACCTGCCCAGTGAACCTGGCTGGGCCTGGAGAAGGGGTGCAGTGTCCTAACACATGACGAGGAGGAACAGGGGAGAGGGAGCACACCTGTGTGTTACGACTCGAGCCCAGAGAGAGGGTGCTGGCAACTGCTCAGGGCACGGTGAGGCCGAGTGAACTGTGGTGGGTCCCCTTCTGAGGACGGTGTTTGGTCCTGATCTGCCCAAAATGGATTTCAACCCCTTTTCTTTTCCTTCCCAGCTTTCCCCCTCCACAGAAGAATGGTGGACCTTCAGAAGCCTTCTGCACAGAGCCCATGTCACTGCTGCATTCGGAACATGGGCGGCCAGCGCTGCACCTTCTCCAGTTCCCAGCACACTGGACAGAGCTTGGACTCTCCGTCCTCCCTCCAGCGTGTGCCCTCCGGGCCTCGAGAGTTCAGAGTGGGCGCCACACAACTGTCTTCCTTCATCTTCGAGGTTCACCAAGTCAGAGCTGGATCAGCACCTCACTTCTCATTACGGCTGGATGCCCCGCCCTGCGGGGATGGCCCGGTGCCTGCTCCACTCCTCCATGGGGCACATCAGGGGGGCTCCCACCCATAGTGGAAGCGGGCCTCCTAAGCCCTGTGCCCTCCCCCGGGCCCTACTGGTCAGGGAGGGACCGAGGTCTCTGTGTCTCCGTCTGTAATGGAAACGGGAGCGCAGGCTGGCGTTCAGAGGACATGTGGACAGACGTACCTGTGGCTGCAGGCGAGGGCAGGGGGTAATTCTTCTCCTCCTCCATGAACTGTAAGGCAACGGTGCAGAAATTGCTCTCATACTGAACCACCAGGTGACTCAGTGCCACCACCAGCTCCTGCCGAGAGAGGGAGGGACCGTCACTCACCAGTCAGAGCGGCCACCACTGGAGTCACCACAGAAAAGAAGGGGACAGTGGGCTTTGCCTTTGTTATAAGGAGCCAGGACCATGACCCTCCGTGCTGTGAGGATGCCTCAACAGCTGAGTGGTCAAGATAGCAGGCCACGAACCCGGGAATGTTCCAGAACGCTGGGTCTGACTGACGTCGAGTTTTAGGACAGGAGGGTGAGGTGCACCCCTGAAGGTGGACAGGTGGACAATGAACAGTGACCAGGACAAGATGCCACTCGGGGACTGGACCCCACTCAGCACGGACTCCGTAAAGCAGAAGACCTCTGGCAGGCTGGGTACACTGACTTTACCAAATGAGAAATGCTTATACATTATATCTTAGTTTCTAGTTTCTACAGGGAAATGGGAAAGTTCTAGAACTAAAACATCATCAGTGCCATCGAGGGACATAAATCCTCGTACTTTAGGATGGTCACTGCTAAGACACCAGTCCCCAGAGGCCTAAAGTCACCCAGAAACAAAAGGAAAAATGGGTTCATAAACACGGAAGCCAGGCTGTTCCCGCCTCCGCTCTGTGGAGCAGACAGCGCCATCTGCTGCTCTTTCAGAGAAATTGGAGGTAAGTGGTCAAGGCTCGAGGGGAGAGCTGATGGCCGTGGGCCCTGGGAGCACTCAACCCATGGGGCCCACTGGGCAAGGCCTGGGGCAGGGGCGCCCCCACCTCCACCTGCGTGTCTGCAGGTGTCTACTGCTCCGAAAGGTACACGTGGTTCAGCTCTGTGAGCTGCAGGGATACGTGGCCTTTACAGAGAACAGACCCAGCAGCTGCGGGTCCTTAAGGGGAGTGGACTGCAAGGATTTGGGGAAGCAGCGTGGTCTGAAGGGAACCAAAGAGACACCTCGTGGCCAGCTAGCACAGCGTCCACGAAGACCCGTGGCGCCTCCTCACTGCTGTAGGGCCTGGCAGCGTAGGTCTAGGCAGGAGGCCAGGCCACCTGTTCTACTGGGTAGAGGCCTACACCCTGGGCACCAAGCTGAAGGCTGGCCAGGCATCGCTGTCTGCAGGGACAAAGGAGGGGCACATTCCGGGGCAGCACGGTCAGGGCCCCTGTCTGCAGGGGTGCGGGCAGGTACACAGCGCGGGGCAGCAGCCAGGCACCCGCTGTCCACAGGGCGAGGGCAGGCACACACCTTGCGCACCACGGGGCTGCCGTCGTGGATGAGCTGGGCCAGCATCATGGCCACGTTGTGATCGATGGTGGTTGAGTGGTCGGTCCTCTCGGCAGAGTTGCCTACAAAGGTGCCCAGGGCAAAGACGGCAGCACAGCGGACCTGTGGCGGGCAGGACACTGTTAACCTCAGAGGGTGCGGACCAGCTGGGCCTCCGGTCCCCAGGTTGGTTCATGCTCGGCCATGACACCCCCATGTCACAGGTCCTCCTGAGCAGAGCCGGGTGAGGGCAGGAGAGTGGTCCTGCAGTCCCGAAACCTGGACACTTGGAGGCCCCTCCAGCTCATCCCAAGGGGCAGATGTGGCTGCCCAGCTATCTAGGAGAACTGGACTCAGAGGGCTGGCCGACCGAGCACTAGGCTGGTCCGGAAGATGCACTCCAGATCCAGCTGTGGTCATGAGCAGCTAGGAGGGCTGGGCCAGCATCAGCGCTGTCAGCGGGGCTTGAGGCGACCACGCCGACGGGACAGGTGGGCTGCCATGCTTAGAGCAAGACCTGAGGCTCCTGAGAAGCCCAAGACAAGCTGAGGTGCAGGCAGACTGTTTGCAAAGAAATCCTTGAATGACAACAGGGCAGGTGGGGAGAGAGGGGCCAGGAGTCAACGCCTGGCTCAGCCCCTGGGGACCTGGGCTCACAGACCTGCCTGGAGCTGCACCACTGGCTGGCGCACTGCCCCTCTACCAGCCTGAGGTGAGAGTGCAGAGGGCTGGCCAGGGGCAGCAGGTGCCCGTGTGTAAGGAAAGAGGACAGTGTGAGCGCACCTGCAGAAGGGGAGCCTAAGCATGCAGGACCTCTGAGCCTGCGGGCGCCCCTGCTACCTGCCGCCGCACTGTGCGTCTCCTAGTCACTGCGTCTCCTACTCGCTGCGTTCAGGTGCAGGATTGCCGAGCGGAGAGCTTTGCTGCACAGGCCCCAGGCTTGCCCTCACTGTTTGCAGGGCGGCGCCGACGGCACACGAAGCAGCGAGGCGGGGTGGGGCTCACCTCGGGAATGGGGTCCGAGAGGAGGCTGCAGAGCTTCTCGTGTGCGCTGTCCCGCACTCCACACCAGCGGGCCGAGTCGAAGTTCTGCCAGATGCGGCCCAGGCAGATGGCCACCCACTGGCGCAGGAGAGGGTGGGGGTCATTGAGCTGCTCCAGACAGATGGCAATCAGGTTCCCCTGAAGGCAGGCTTCCTGTGAAAGGCACGGGCATGTGGCCTCACTGTGGCCATCAGGGGCCAGGGCCACTGCCTAACGAGAAGCCCACTGCCAAGTCCAGTCGTTCTGTGGCCCTGGGTGCAGCACACGACTGGTGCTCGGCAGTTGGTGGTTCGCACCCACCCAGAGACTCGGAGGAGTAAACACCCGAAAAGCTGCTCGGGGAAACTGCTCACTGTGGGAGCATCTCAGACCCGACAGCATAAGGACTCTGCCTTGCAAATTTCCCAAGCTAACATGCCGCTCGTGGGCACCCTGCGCCCAGGCCAGCACGTCCCTCGTTAGTTTTATATGATGTGGAGGACGCAGGGCTCTCCCGACCTCCAGGCCCCACTGCTGGGCGACACTCACCTGGCCCGTGTTGTAGTTATTGACGATTACAGCTAGGATGAAGGCTGTCATGGTCCGATGCTCGGCCTGGAAGACAGGGAAGCCTGAGCCTGCACTTCTTGGGGTGGACAGCACCCCAGAGCAGCCCCCGAATCCCTGCACCCCACTATCCTGAAGATCAGACAGCTCACATTGGTGCAGGGCCGCCAGCAGCTGGATGTGGTTCGGCCGCAGCAGGCTGGGCTCTGGCTTGGCTGCTTCCATGCATCACACTCGCTGCCTTACAGAAGCCCCCAGAGAGCTGAGCCCTGGGGTGCAGGGGTTCCTGCCACACCACACTCCTCACATGGGACCCTGGGAGTGCTGTCCACCCCTCAGTCTCCCTGATCTCTCTCTTCACATGTCGGCATCAGAGACACCTTTCTCTTCCTTCCATTCTGCCCTCAAAGCGTGAATGTGCCGGGAGGTGGCCGGGTCCTCATCTGGGGCAGCAGTGCCGTGAGGTGGCCAGTGTGCCATGTGGTGGTCAGTGTTCTGTGAGGAGGTCTGTGTGCCCGAGGTGGCCTGGTCCTCATCTGGGGAAGCAGAGCTGTGAGGTGGCCAATATTCTGTGAGGTGGCCGGGTCCTCACCTGGGGCAGCAGTGCCGTGAGGTGGCCGGGTCCTCACCTGGGGCAGCAGTGCCGTGAGGTGGCCAGTGTGCTGTGAGGTGGTCTGTGTGCCACCCAGGTGACTGGGCAGGGTCTTTCTTAGCACTAAGAGCAGGGAGGTGGCTCCTCTGAGCCACACAGCACCCGGCGTGATTTGAGGGCCTGGCTTGGGCAGCAGGGCCACACTCGGCACCCAGCACCACTGCCCTGTGCACAAGGGCCTGCCTACACTCTTACTGCTTTACTGACTCTCCGAAAACTAACCAGAGGATGAATCCTGCACACATGTGCCTGCACACCACGAAGCCAAGGCTCGCTCCGTAAAGAGACACGGGCGTAAGGAAACGTTTGCGTGAATGTGTGAGTGAAACGCCATGCTACGAAGGCATCCTGGCGTCTGTTTCACTCTCATCAGTGGGCGAGAAATAAGAGGTAAGAGGATAGCACTGGGCGGCCTGACCAGTGAGTGAGCCGGCTCAGCAGGACTGTCCCTTCGTGACCTGCTGTCCGTCCCTGTGTCCCTTAGCTGGCTGGGTGACATGGTGACAAGGACCTTACCGGCATGTAGGGGTCCGCCAGGACTGACAGGAAGTACTTGTGACCATTGTCCTTCACAAGGTCCGCCTGGCATGACTGGGGAGAGAGCACAGAGGAGAGAGGCCGTGAGCCTGGAGAGGACTGCGCTGCCAGCACACGGGGCAGGCGGGCGTCACTCTCAGCCTCCTGCCCTGGCTCCGCCCGCGGTGGGACTTGCACATACTCCAGGCTGTGGACAAGGCTGGGCTCAGCCTCAGAAAGCTGGCGCCAGAGTCACAAGGCCGAGGTGGAGCGGGTCCCCCCAGAACCGCATACCCCAGCTCAGTGGGCAGCGTGTGGGGGAAGCACTCAGCAAGGCGAGCACCCCAATCTTATACTGTACCCCGGCCCCTGCTGGGCTTTGGGCTTTGTTTGGGATGACCATAAAATGAAGACAATGATCTGGGGGTCACCAGCCAGCCTCTCTTCCTGTTACAGGCTTGTCCCATGGGCGAGTGCCACACACAAGCCAGGGCAGGGCAGGGGCCACCTTCCCAGCAGCAGGAGGGAGACACTGCTCACTGAGTGAGGCATAACGGGGTAAGAGCTGTGGCTCCCTGTCCAGTGTTCACCTGGGGGGGACTGGAGAGAAGAGCACCCTTCAACTGCGGTACTCAAACCTGGAAAATAGGCAGTCCAAGGTCCCAGTCCAACCCAAGCCACACACAGGAAGGCCTTTTTAGATTGTTGCTGTGGTGTGCTGTCGAGTTGCCTGCGACCCATAGCGACCCTGTGTACAACAGCTCTGAAGCCTGTCCTGTCCTGAGCCGGTCTGACTGACTCTGACACACCTACCCCCATGGCCCAAATCACTGTATCAATCCATCTCATCTGGAGTCTTCCTCTCCTGCGCTGTCCCTCCACCCTTCTGAGCATGATGTCCTTCTCCAAGGATTGGTCCCTCCTGGCTACATGTCCAAAGTGAGATGGAGCTTCAAAATCCAGGCCTGAAACTTGGTTTCACTCTCTCCAAGACAGACCTATTTGTTTTCTTGGTATGTTCAATACTCTTCTCCAGCACCACAACTCAAAGGCATCAAATTCTTCTGTCATCCGTAGTCATTATCCAGCTCTCCAATGCAAAGACCATGACCTGGATCAGATGCACCTTAGTCTCTAGACTGAACCCTTTACTGTCACAGGCACTGACCCATTCCTCTGATGACATGTCACTCGAAATCCTGTCTGAAATGACAGCTTAGCTGCTACTACACAGGGTCTCCCAGGCCAGGCCCCATCTAACAAGGAAGACTGAACAGGGGCCCATCGGAGGAGGAGGAGGAGGAGGAGGAGGAGGAGGAGGAGGCGGCACGGTGGGGATGCTGCACAGAAGCGCCTCCCACGGCTTGGTCTCACTGTCTGTTTCCTTGTTTCCCCAGATTAAGCTGTTGAATGACATATTCAGGCCAGAGTGACAAGAAGGTGGGAGAGAGGGGAAGATGTGAACAGGAAACGTTTGCTCTCTCCGGGCCCCAGCACACCTCACATACACCCAGCAAACAGCCTGACGCAGCTTCCAACACGCAGCCTGGCCGCCTGTGCCTGGCCTGTGCGGGACTGGCATCCACTGTGGGACAGGGTGGGAAGGGCAAACCGCAATGAAGCAGGTATGTGTTCACCGTCACAGAAGCACAGACGTGGTCGGTGGACAGGTGTGACAATGGAGTGGGGCTCGAGGGACCGTGGGCAGGCCTGGTTCTGCTGTGTGGGTTGGGCTGACAGTCAGGCAGCTTCGTCTCCTTGGAATGCTCTGGGGGACACACAGCTTATCTCCAGCAAACAGGAAACACAGATGAGTGAACTGACTGACTCTGCGTGTGGCAGAGAGATCTCGACAGGTGGGCGACAATGCCGACAGGTGGGTGACGATGCCGACTGGTGGGTGATGATGCCACTCTGAGGCGTGTCACCCACAGGCCTGGTGACGCATGCTGCAATGTGATGACACACGTTCCCGGGTCTCCTGGGCCTCGGGTACCAGAGGAGCCAACTCTGATTGCAGAAGCGTTTGTGCAGTACTGAGGATGGGGAGTTTCCAGGAGGGAGGAGAAACTAGGTCGCCTGTGCTTGCCATTTGTGGGGCATCTGATGCTACGGGGAGCTGGAGGCAGACCTACAGGGGACAGTTCAGAGCCCCGGTTCCACAGCAGTGCGGCCTCTGAGTCCTCTTCACTGTCAGCAAGCAAGGTTGTGTCGTCTGCATAACACAGGTTATTGGTGAGTCTCCCTCTGATCCTGGTGCCACACTCCGCTGCAAAATGCAGCTTCTCCAACAACTTGCTCGGCATACAGACTGGATGGCAGGAAAACCACTGACATGTTCCCTTCCTAGCTGTAAACCAGGTAGCGAGCGTTCCCTTGGATAAAATACACTACAGAAGCCAGTGCTCTAGTAGCTACTATGCTGTTGGGTCCCACTGAAAGGAACCGACCCATAGCTGACTCTCCAGTGGGTTTCCAGGGCAGATAACAGCACGAGAGGAGAGGGCTCCTTCTTCCGCGGAGCAGATGGTGGATTTGAACTGTTTTCGGGACTGCAGTGTAGATAGCTGGCCAATGACCAAAATGACAGAAGTGCTGGAGAAGAGTACTGACACACCATGGGCCGCCAAAAAAACTAACAGCTATGTCTTGGAGAAGGTAGAACCAAGCCGCTCCTTGGAGACAAGGATTCTGAGACTCCGTCTCTTACTGTGGGCATGTCGCCAGGACGGACCAGTTCTTGGATCCCTGGAGAAGGGTATCATGGTTGTGAGGGTGGAAGGACAATGCAGGAGAGGAAGGCCCCAGATGAGGTAGACTAACACAGTGACCGGGGTCATGAGGGCAGGTGTGTCAGACAGTGAGACTGGCTCAGGACACAGCAGGGTTCAGAGCTACTGTGCTAAGGGTCGCTATGAGTCGAACTCAACTCGATGAAACGTAACAACAACAACCCAACTAGTAGCTACGACGGTCTTAGCTGACCTTCAGCGGCTGCTCTACCTCACTACACCGGCACACATGCTGGTCCACGTGCTGCAGGAGCTGTTCCTGACATTCACTTGCCACTCTGTTGATGTCTCCAGAAGCCTTCATGATGTCACTTCTCCCGCTGCTGATAATGGAGTTCTGTCTTCTGTTTTCCATTACCAGTCTGGCTAGTGCTTTATGATTTTATTGATCTTCTCAGAGAATCAATGGCTTTCGACGTACCAGATTTCCTCCAATGCCTTTCTGCTTTCTTTGGCAATAATCTCCACTCTGATCTTATGATCTGCTTCCTGCCACTTGCCTGAGTTCCACCTGCTTTTTGTGAGTCGTCTGGTGGAAGCAGAAGTCACTGTGTGGCGGCCGCCTCTGTCTCCTCTATGTAGTGCTCTGCAGGTCCCTTTCAGCTCGGCTCAGCTGGGACCACCCATTCTGACAGGTGCCTTTATGTTCATTCACTTCACGGTATTTCATTTCCTCATACTTCTCTGGGACCCCATGGACTATGAAACACCTGTAATTATCAAGCACTGGGAATTCTCGTTAGCTTTCCATTACTGATTTTGACTTTGACCACATTGGGGGCCAGGGTGAGAGAACCCTTTATGGTTCATTTCAGTTATTTTAAGTTGACGGAGGCTTGCTTCATGTCTATCTTGGTATGTGCTCTGCAGCCCTTCCAAGGATCATGTCTTGTGCTGTCATTGGGTGGAGGGCCTGGTGGACAGTGCGTCCAGCTGATGGACGGTGATGGGAAAGGCTTCACTTCTTACTGACTCCCTGGCCCCTTGTTCTGTTAATTCCTGACAGGAGTGTTGAAAGCCCCAGCTGTAACCGAGGACCTGTTTCTCCCGGGAGATTCACCGGGTTTGTGGTTTTCAATGATGTACTCTGAAGGCCCGGACTGCCGCATATTCTGGGTGGACGGAAGTTGCTGTTGTGATGAAGAGACCTGCCTTTTCCTGAGTGGCACTCTCCACTCTGAACACCGATGCGTGGCCTTGTCGTACAGCTCTGTCCTTCTTCAATTGAACATGTCTGTATGTTCTTATTCCAAGTGCATTTCTGTTGGGAAACATACCGCTTGTGCTTCCTTCTTTTGTCCAACCTGACGATCTCTGTCTTTTCATGAGGGTGCTTAGGCGACTTACAGTGAATGTGGCGGCAGTGAAAGTGTCCCCCCTCGATCTGCCACAGCGACTCTGTTCACCTTGTCCTCTCCTTCCTTTTTGCATTTCCCTTATATTTATTTTTGTGATTTCACATTATTTAATTTGCTGATTTATTAACTGCATTTCTTTTCTTAGTTATTTTAATAGCTTTGGGATTTAGAGCGTATACTTTTTGTTTTCAAATATTATCGCACAGTTAATCTCATGGTTTGACAATGGATTCGTGAAATAATCTGCTGACAATTACTTCTTTGACAACACGTAGAGCAGACACTGGCTGTCCTCAATGGTTTATTAGGGATCAACTCTACAAATACCGTGTTCTCAGTGGTAACAGTGGGGCTGCAGGGTGGTGCGCCGCGGACCACCAATGGTGTGGCGGAACCTGGGGCCCTTCTGATGTGAACCATCCAAGGTGTGATGGAACTTGGGGTCCTTCCTGAGGCCACGGCTCTGGTGTGCAGCAGATGTGAGCATACACATCTCCCAGGGTCTATAGACCAGTGTTGTGATCGACTGGGTGTTGGGATTTCTTCTGACTACAGAATGGACCAATGAGGACAGTCTCAAGGAACTTGGATGTTGACCCAGTAGGAATTCAGGATCGTCAGGGCCCCAGAGTGGTGGCCAGCTCACTGCTCAGTCATGGACTGAAATCTCCTGAGCAAACACGAGCAGGTCACCACCATGGCGGGCAGGCCTGTCACAGGTTCCTCCCTTTGCGAAGCGGCTTTTCTGGCCACCCAGGTGAACTTGAATCCTGTAGATGACATAACCTTGCTTGGCCTTGGAGCCCAGCCTGTGCACCTGGTTGAGCTGCGTGGGGAGCAGGCCCGGGGCAGTGCTGAGAGCTGGGGTTCAGCCAGCAGTCGCCCCGTGGGAAAGGACATCACGGCCGACTATTTCTTCCACCACAGCTGTGGGATGCACCTGCAGACGCCCACCGCGGCTCACCTGATGGCTGCCCCGGGAGCAGCCTGCGCAATGCCAGGCTCCTCCTGGACGGTCCCTAACGGCCGCACCTATCTGCAGGCGGTCGGTCCTACACCACGCGGAGTGAAGTACAAGAACCTTAGAGTGGTGAGCAGATCTCATCAGTTCCTCTCTCCAACCACCACACTGTTATCATCCACGTTGCTTCTACGTGTGTTATAAACTGTACAGGACATGAGGATTATTCTTGTTTAAACAATTAACTTCTAAAGAAACTTCACGGGGGTAAGACACTTATTTATCTAGTTACCATTCATTTCTTATGTTCTTCATTCCTTTTAGTCTGTCTTTCCCTCTGGAAATTTTTTCCTTCAGTGATAAACTTATCTTGTTAATGTATCTTGTAGTGTGTCCCTTGTGGTGAACTTTTTCAGGTTTTGTACATCTGGAAAGTCTTTACCTTTTTTAAAAAATATACCTCGGCTGGGTCTAGAATCCTAGGTTGACAGGTTCCCCACATCTCTGAGACCCCAGCCTGTGACAAGAAATCTGTGGTCCTCCTCATCTGCGGGCCCCTGCCCCTCGCCTCCCGCTCTTTGAGAGCCCACCTGCTTCTGATTTCAGGAAGCAGCCGCGTTGTGACAAGCTCTGCATTGTTTATTTTGTACTTTGGGGTTTGTTTTGTGGATTATAGTTTTCACCAAATTTGAAAAATCCCCTCATATTATTTCAACATGTATATTCCTTTTTCTTTTTTTAGATTTTAATGAAAGTTTATAAAGAACTTAGATTTCCATTCATTCTTCATTGCAGATTTTCCTCCCTGCCCCCCTCCTCCTGCCCCAGTTCATTTTTTTCCTTTGGAAAAAAAGTTCTTTCATTGTTATACAGCCCCCCTCCCCGCTTTACTATGCAGTTCTTATTCTGGACTTTTGTCATGCCAATAAGACCTCATCATATATTCCTTTTAAATATTTCTCTCCCTCATCTGTTTCAATGTCATGTACATTATTTATCCCCTTTTCTTAGTTTCTCTAAATCCCCATATCTGTCCTGTTCTACAACAGTGGCACTATGCAGTATTTGTCTTTTTATGACTCAGATATTTCAGTCAGTATAATGTCCTTCATGGTGATCCATTTTGTATAATATTGCATGAGTTCCTTGTTTTTCAGTGCAGTGTAGTATTCCATTGTGTGAATATACCACAGCTTCTCTATCCATTCATTTGTTGATGGGCACTTGGTTTGTTTCTAATTCTTTGTTATTGTGAACAAAGCAGCAATAAACATGGGTGTGCATATATCTGCTTGGGTGGCAGTTCTGATTTCTTTAGGGTATATTCCCAGTGGTAGAATTTCTGGGTCGAATGGTATTTCTCTTTGTAACTTTTTGAGAAAGTGCCATACTACCTTCCATTGTTGTTGCACCATTTTACACTCCCACCAACAGTGAATAAGGGTTCCAATTTCTCCACAACCTCACCAACATCTGTTACTTGCTGCTCTGTTGAATTTTGCTATTCTGACTGGGGTGAGATGGTATCTTATAGTTGTTTTGATTTGGATCTCTCTTAGAGCTAGGGATTTGGAACATTTCTTCATGTGTTTGTTGGCCATCTGAATGTCTTCTTTGGTGAAGTGTCTGTTCATATCCTGTGCCCATTTTGCAACTGGGTCGTTTACCTTTATCTTGTTGTGATGTTCGTCATATATTTTTCTTGACAGTTCCCTAAGGAGACGCTAAACACCCAGAAACTAGGCCACTTACAGTTGCGCAGTAATACACAGATTTCCCCCCATGTTTTCCAGAATGTTCCTTTTTCACTGCGGTCTCTTCAAGAGCTTATGCTGCTGTCTTTATGTTCATGGACTTTCTTCTGCCTCATTTAATCTGTTTCCAGTCACATCCTGGTGCGTTTTCTGTGTGACGTGTTGTAGAAGCTTGATCCAAGTTTTTTTCCCTAATTTCCATGCCCCAAGTCCGCTCTTTGAACCTATGCAGTAGACGTCCAGTCCTTGTCTCACTGGCTCTGTGTGCACTGCTGGCCCTGGGGCAGTTCTGCATAGATGGGATGGCCTATTTGGCCTCCTCACCATGGGCCACAGTCTAGGACTCTGGCCACGCTTGTTCTTTCTGACTGGCTGTTAAGTGAGGAGTAAAATGGTGGAGGGAGTGACGGCGGAAAGGCTGCTCTAAGAGGAGACCCCGTGGAGACTTCCAGGGCTGAGAGGGCAGGAAAGAGAGCCCTCCTCATCTCTGTGCTAGCTGCACCCTCTCCCTGGGGCAGGCTCCCCACAGCGTGCACAGAGTCCCCATCCCTGCCCCCAAGGCAAGCATGCACACTTCCCCACGCTCCTCTTTGGTCTCTAAGGACAAGCCCCTTCGCTCCATGAACCCTTTAGTGGCTCTGAGGGTGTAGCATCTGCTGTGATGTAGAACAGGATTCTGCAGAGATTGGAGATGGAGCTGTGCTGGAAGACAGGAAGACAGCCAGTGACCTGCACTCAATCCTGGCCAAGGAGGAGACGTGGCAGTGCTTGGCTCTGCTGTACACAGGGACAAATCGACAGCAGCCTCCAACAGCTGTGGGGACAGCGTGGCATCTGGTCCTGTAAAGGTGGCAGCCTCAGGCTCCACCCCATAGCAGCACTGAGAGCCTCCACCGACTCGAAGGTGGTGAGTTTTGTTTTTAAACAGTAACACGACATGCGGCACACAGCGACATCTGCACGTGGGAACAAGAGGCTCGTAGACTCGTCCCTGAGTGGGGGAACCCCAGGCTGAGTGCGGCTCCAGCCCCTCTCTCCACAGGCTGATGGGATGCTGATCTGGGAAGCGTGGAGTGCATGGCCTGGGAGGACTGGTCAGCCCCGGCTGTACCGCTGAGCAGGCTAACTGCAGAGCGGACACCTGTGTGCAGCTGACTCTTGGGGTGTCCAGGGCAAAGAGCGCAGCCTGCACTGTGAAAGCTGAGTCCCGGCCTGGACCAAGAGGACAACACAGCCCGGCTTCAGGCCAGGCGTGTGGGGAGGGGACACGGCTCCTGGAAAAACTCAAGGACTTGGATTTCCAGGAAGCAGCAGCTGTATGGTGCAGGAGAGGAAGACGGGGTACATGGGGCTGCCCCGACTGGAGCTGTCTCCCTCTCCCCTGGTAGGATGCTGCCTCCCAATAAGCAGGTGCAACAAGCTGGTTAGGAAATGAGCTCGCAGGGTGGGGGCAGACAGGCCACAGGCACTGAACACAGCCAACTCAGTCCCAGCTGGGGAGGAAGAGCGGTCCAAGCCCCGCAAGCTCAGAAGGCCTGCAGCATCCAGGAGGCACCAGGCGCAGAGCCCCAGTGTCTCCCCCTGGGAGTGTCACAGAAGGAGCTGGGCTTCACCGTCCCCACCGATGCGGAGGGTCGGGGGCCCTGGGAAAATGGGGGTCTGGGAGTGCTGTAACCAGGCTCCTTGGACTGCAGGGGGGCCCAGTAACAAACACAATGAGAACATGATGGAAAAGGCCAGCTAAGAGGGCCGTCCTTGCTCTGGAGAAGAGAAACTGCTAACAGGACTTAGAATAAAGAATCCGTTTCAAGGTGGTCAGGGAGACAGTGGAGAAAGCAGAGGGTCAGAGTGAAAGAGAAGAGCCTCCTGCAGGTGGACGGCACACGGCGACTGCAGCAACAGGCCTGAGCAGGCCGGGCCGGCGGGGCTGCAGTCCACGGTGCCCGGGGTCAACGAAGCGAGCCGACTGAAACCCACTCACCAACAACCGCAGGAGGGACCGTGAGAGGCAAGGCCGCACGCCGGCGGGACCACGACTCGCAGCATAACCTGCTATTCTTTTTTTTTTTTTAAATTTATTTTTTATTTTTTTTTCCCCCTGCTATTCTGTGTGCTGGAAATGCTCACCACTGCAAGGCCAGCAAGCCAGGACTGCCGGCCAGTCAAGGAGGACAGGACCAGCCTTAATGACGAAGGGAGGTGTCCATCAGGAGGAGCGCTCTAGGAGCCTCGTGGTAAGAAGCTGCCGGTTAATTCCAAAGGCACCAGCTGCTTGCCAGGGGAAGGATGGACGGTCTCCTCCCGCGTGACTTACAGCCTCTGAAAACCTGCTGGAGGGTCAGCTATGGGTGGGTTCTGACTCCCCAGCACACAACCACGGCTGGGTGGGCTCTGGGAGGAAGCTAGAGAGCTCTGGGTCAGATCCACACCTGCCGAGACATCATGGTCTCAACGTGAACCAGCGCCCACCACGCCTGCTGACTGGACTCCGTTTCCAAAGCCAGCCGCCTGCCACTCTCGCTGCTTCCCAACAGTGACCAGTACATGTCAGCCTCTGAAACCGGCAGCCCCCAAGGCTGCGGTCTGAGCCCCTGCCCGCCTGCGGACTGGTCTGTGCTCTGCAGACGCCTCTAACTTGAGGTCTGACCTGCAGACCTGGGACTTGTCTCTACAGCATGTGAGTTCATGGTCAACGAACTTGAAATCAATCTCTCTATATTTCTACATATACAGAGAGAAAGTGAAGAAGTCTTGAAGCACTTACTGGAGAAGATCAAAGGCTCTAACTTTCAACATCAAGAAAACCAAAGTGTTCATTAGAGGGCCAGCAGACAGCACCGTGACTGACGGAGAAGACACTGAAATTGTCAACAATGCCATTTCACCTGGGTTAACAGGTAACACCCACAATAGCAGCAGGCAGCAAAGGATGGGGTGGGGTGGGGGCCAGAGTGGTGAGTGGAAATGAGGCCGTTTTGTGAACAAGATGGGCTCCAGTGTGTGGCCTCCATGGGCCAACCATAGGACATGGGCCAGCGATGACCATGGGTCATGGGCCAGCACGGGACATAGAGAAGGAAGTGGGAGAGAGGCCAGGAGGGCAGGGTGCAGAGCAGAGACGGGGGACGGCCGCGAGCACTCACACTGTCCACGGCGAGGATCTTGGCCCATATGAACACCAGGAGGGGCCGCAGCTCCCGGGCTGAACTCTGGAGCAGCTTCAGCACGTAGGGAAAGATGCCGACAGACAGGGCCTGAGGGAGAAAGCACCGTGAGACGGGCCCTCGCAGCCCACACGGAGTGAGGCACCTACGTGGGGGTAACGCAGGCTCAGCCCACACTGGCTGGCCTGACTCCCCACTCATCTCTGAGCTCAGGAATTGGGGTGCCGGGCAGATCCAGGCCTGGATGATCCAAACAGGCCAGGGCTGAAGTCACATGGCACGGCCTCGTTGAGGGACAGGGCTTTGGTCTGGGGAGCCCCCACATGGCCACAGGGGCACGGCCACATGCCCAGGGCTGATGTCAAAGGTCGGACTCCCTGCAGGCATGACCACGTGACCAGCACTGAGGCAGGGCCACAGGAGCCAAGGCCCCATGACTTGCAGAGCCGCCAGCTCCGATGGGGACCAGTAGGAGCTTGGGGATCCCCACTGGGGTTGCAGTGGGCCTCCATCCTTGGGCGCCCTGTGCTCTCAGGGAAATGAGGGACTCCAGTCCTCATCTAGAATTCCAGATGTCTCCTTGCTGGAATTCAAATCAAAGCCCAGTGGTATCTCATCCAGGAACTGGCCTGTCCTGGGAACGCTCTGCAGCTAATCCCATGTCTCTACAGCAGGTCAGAGGGAGGGGCACGAGCCAGGATGGCCAGCGACACACAGTCCCATCTAAGGGGCAGGGACACGCTTTTCTCTGGTTCAGGCCAGGAGCCCTCACACAGGAGCCAAAGGGGCTCCGTTTACGTAGTGAGCACATTTCCAGTTAGAGTGAGCCTGACTCTTTAAATGGCCAAGATTGATTTTAAAACTTAACCAAGTAAACGCAGAGCTTCCTGAAATAGGTGACTGTGTTTCCTTGTCTTCACAACGAGCAGCGCGGGCACACTCTAAGGGTCTCCACGACGACAAAGCGATGGCAGGTGTCTCACGCAGACACCTGTCCCAGCGGTCACCTGCAGCTCCACCAGGGCAGGCAGCCAAGGTCTCAGGCCCTGGAAGAGGACTGGCCGAGGTGGGCAGCAGGCCCTGGTGCTTCCTAGGGCCAGCCTGGTGGGGTCTCCCGTGACCGGCCATCACACCCCGACTCCACGCGCTCCTCTGTCCTGTCCCTGCTGGCCTGTCCTTGGGACTCTCTGTGGCTAATCCTATGTGCCACATGGTTTCACTGGCACATCTCTACAAAATAAGTTCTCGTTCATAAACTTAACTATGATTCCTTTATCACGCCTGCAGACAATTCTCAACCAGATAAGGGAGCTCTGGTGGCCGAGTAGCAGCGAGTTGTGCTGCCAACTCAAAGGTGCATGGTTCGAATCCGCCAGCTGCTCCATGAGAAAAAGACGAGCCTTCTCCTCCCGGGGTTTACGGCCTCTGGACACTCGCCGGAGGGTCAAGTTAGGAGTCGGTATTGACTTGATGGTAAATAACAATAACCACCCACCACAGACAGACAGGGATTCTCTAATTATGCCAAATATTCAATTAGTGTAAAATCTCCACTTGTCTCATGGCATTTACAAAACTAACACGTTCATTTTCACAGATCTACAAAGTGGTCGCTTGAGTCTCCCCTTCCCTGTAACCTATCTGCTGAAAACCATCATTTCATGACTCCATTCCCATCAGTATTGTTTCAAATGGACATTTCTGACAAGAAAGTGTGTTGGAACTGTGAGTATAACAAGAGTAAGAAGGCCATGAAAGAGGCTTGAGATACCCTATGGGAAGTGCCGTGTCCTGGGGACCCGGCCGGGCTCAGGGCTGCCTGACGGGGAAGCCACTCTGAAAAGCGATGCTTCATTCTCTTCCAAAGCCAAGCTAATATCAGAGGAATGGAGGGTCAGGGTTAGGGCACACAGCAAACAAGGACACACCCCACAGGATGGCCGCCTAGGTCCCAGGTGATGCCACATGCTCCGTGTGGGCACCACCCCCACTATGGGGTCCGGGTGTTGCCCCCCAGCCCAGCCTCCTCTCCCCAGTGTGAGCAGACACATACCAGGCTCACTGCCCAGGGACCCAAGTCCAGAAACCGCCCCAGCAAGTCTAGGGCTCGCAGCCGATGCACCTGGCTCAGCAGCACCTGTGGAGACAGAGGAAAGGCCCGGTCACCGCCAAGCTGCCGACAGGGCACCTCAGTGAAGGCCCAGCACTGGCTCTGATGTCCCTCGGCGGTGTCAGCCAACTCTGCTGTACCATGACGGTCTCCAGCATTTGATAAAAGGCACCAGAAGAGCTATGAGGTCTTTCTGTGCTCTGGTCTCCTCATTTAAGTCACATTTCCTAACTGGTCAAGAATCTGGAGGGCCATTCACAATGGTAGTGTCCAGGCCTTAGCAACATGACAGCTTCTGGGACAGACAGACTGGTGTGGGTGGCTGAGCTGACTAGAGGCAGGTAGTTCCCGGGGGCAGACCACGTGGGTCAGGGGTGGACAGGTCCCTGGGTAAGTCCACATGAGTCAGGCAGGTAGGCAGCTCTCTGGGCAGTACCATGTGGGTCAGAGGTGGGCAGTTTCCCTGGTAACACCACATAGGTCAGCGGTGGGCAGCTCTCTGGGCAGTACCATGTGGGTCAGGAGCGGGCAGCAACCACTGTAACTCCACATGGGTCAGGCAGGTGGGCAGCTCCCCAGGCTATACTGCGTGGGTCAAGTGGGTAGGCAGCTTCCTGGCCAGCACCTCACGGACGAGGGATGGGTGGCCCACTGGGCAGCACACGTAGACCAGAGGTGGGCAGACCCTGGGCAGCACCATGTGGTCCGGATACCCATGTCCCTTGTTCTCCTGTTGGTAAATCTCTCCTGGACCCAGCAGGCAGCAAGGTGAGGGAGGCCGGCTGCCTCATGGGCACTGAACACCTCCAGGTAACGCCCCGTTCACTCAGGTCCTGTCCCCTCACCCTGGCAGTCACTCACCTCCCCTCAGCCTCCTCCTCCTCCCCAAAAGGGTGTGTGCTGTGAGGAGGACGTCTGCCAGGACTTCTGTGTAGGCAGCCTCCTTTGCCAGCGAGGCCAGGGCCCCTTGGACAAGGAGGTTCAGAGCTGCTGGCTGGTGAGTCCCCACTAGTGACCGCGGGGAGGCTGCTTGGGAGGTCTTGGGAGCACATCACACCACCTGCTCCTCTACCCCCTAAAATCTGCAGCCAGACTCCAGTGCACACCAGTGCTGGCCCTGCCACATGAGGCTCCCTCCCCGTGGCCCTGCTGCTGTCCAGTCCCACCAATGGCACATCTGCTCACTCACTGGGTGGTCTGCAGCCCCCTCAGAGGCCCCAGAGCAGGGACAACGGTGGCTCTTGTGCATGCAGTCACATTTCTGAGGGGTTCACCTCCATCCTGTGATGTCAGTAAAGGAGCCCAGTGATGCACGGAAGCACCTTAAATACTTGCTGACACCATTCTTCTGCCCAGCTACCATCAATGAGGCCAGAGCAGGGCTGAAGCGCTGACAACCTACGCCTCTTCTTCAGCACCTCTCCCTGCTGACTGAGGCTGACCATGAACACCTCAGCTCTCCACCAAGCAGTGTCCAGAGCTGCAGACGGGTGACGGGGTGACCGAGAGCAGGACCCAGGCATGTCAGGACCAGCTCGTTCGCCGCTGGGCATCTCTTGGAAGGCAACAGGCTCCAAGAGCAGAGTGCTGATCTCGTGGCCAGCAGGTGCTGCCCCACAGGTGGGCAGTGTAGGGGAAAAGCTGACCCCTCCCTCAGGAATCAATGGCCAAAGGTGGCCGGGGGAGGTGCATGTTCCCATTCAGAGTGGTCAGCTGCCCACCTGCCACCGCTCCCAACGGAGACTAGAATGGATTTACCCCACTGCAGACCAGGGAGGACATGACCATGCAGAACACAGAGCAGGCTCCCCCGCGGGGGGTCCACAGCTCGGACCAAGTTCAGCCTCTATCACAGCAGTGCTGCCTGGTGTCTAGTGCCCTCTGAAACCCTGGTGCTCACACAGCTCTTTTTCACACTAACTCAGTGCACCTCGTTCACGCGTGCACACACACACATATGGACAGAGCGGGATCCTTCTGAAGCCACTGCCCTCCTCCCACCACCCCCTTGCATGTGCGCACACAGGCACACACGTCCTCGCAGAGCTCTTGTCCGCTTCTCCCAGCTGACAGCTGCGCGTGCGCACTCTCCCCCTGAAGCCTTCATCCTCCCACCAATAGCTTGCGCATGCGCATAGGCGCACGTATCCTCGCAGAGCTTACATGCGTCTCCCAGGTGACAGCTGCATGCTGACATCTGCGCGTGCGCACTCTCCCCCTGAAGCCTTCGTCCTCCCACCAATAGCTTGCGCATGCGCATAGGCGCACGTATCCTCGCAGAGCTTACATGCGTCTCCCAGGTGACAGCTGCATGCTGACATCTGCGCGTGCGCACTCTCCCCCAGAAGCCTCCTGAAGCCGTGGTCCTCCTCCCACCCCCTTGCGCAGGCGCACACACACCCTTGCAGACCAGCCGTGCTTTTCCCAGCTGACATCCGGGCGTGCGCACTTTCCCCCGCGCCCCCCCCCCGAGGGAGAATCCTCCTGAAGCCCTTGCACCCTAACCCCCACCCACGCACTGAGCCACTGAGGCTGCAGCACCAGCACAGCCGCATTTCCTCCAAGTGCTGGCCAGCATGGGGCCCAGCTTCAGGCCAATGGTACTGGGACACCATGGTTTTGTGGTTACAGATGTGGCCACCGTGGTCCCGTCACAGTGGTCAGTGTCCTCTCCTCCTAACCCCTGCAGGGTGGACATGTTCAGAGCATCCTCGCTCCTCTTGCAGTGACCTGTGGGACCTCAAGCTGATGAGTAACCGAGGGCGAGGAGGGCTGTTGAGTGGTTTGCACGTGGCTCTGCTGGCAGAGGATGGCAGGGCTCGCTCCCCTGTGCCGTGTACCTGAGAAGCCGCACGCCCAGTGCTGGGAGATGTGCCCTGCAGCCACCTGGCTTTATCTGGACGCCCCACTCACCTGCAGGACGATGGGGAGCTGCTCTGGGGGGTTCCTGTTCTCCACGCCCATGGTAAGCCACACCTGGAATGCGGTCAGCTGCTCGGCAAAGAAAGGGCTGTGCTGTGAGACAAGAGGAGGGCACTCAGGGGCGGCCTGCTTCCCCAGGCCTATCCATCACCCAGGGGACAGGCTCGACAGAGCCACGTGAAGGACGCAGTGACCAGGGTGCGAGGTCCTGTCACCAGGGGCCGTGAGCACACTGCACAGGGCACCCGTGTAGTGCAGGCAGCTAAGTGCTTGGCCCTTAATTGACAGACGCTGGAAGTCTGATCACATGGTTAGCGGCACCGTGGCAGGCAGGCCTGGAGGTGTGGCTCCAAGGGCCCACCACCTTGAGCCTGTGGAGTGAAGTTTACTGTACATGGGGTGCTGGGAGACAGATTCCACAGCAGCTGCGCGGGATTGGAAAGGAGATTAAAAAGGGAGTTGAGGATACTATGAGGTCTTGGCTCAGTGGTTGGGAAGTGGCGCTGCTGCCAGGTGATGGGGAAGACACGGAGGTGAATGTCAGAAGGGCCCACTGGAAGCTCTATCCCAGACAGCTGAGCCTCAGACACCACACAGGCACAGATGTCCATCAGTGCTCTCCCTGAGCGCACAACAGAGGGTGGTCAGGGCTGGCAGAGACGTTAAGAGGCACCAGCATTAGAAAGAGAAGGGATCCAGGAACGCTGGTGGCCAAGTGGCACAAAGCTGCACTGCAATCCCAGAAGTATGCGGTTCGATCCATCAGATGCCCTGCTGGAGAAGGAGGGGCAACCTCCCCCTCTACCAGTCGGCACACACACAAAAAATAGTAAAATGAAATTTTTAAAAAAAAGAAAGAGAAGGGATCCAAGGCCGAACTTTGGTCACTCCAGTATTTAGAGGCCAGAGGGACAGAAAGTGTGGTGGGGAAGCAGGGAGCCTGACACCTGGAGACCGAGGGACCCACAGTGCCTAGGGCCTGGACTGATGCCTGCTAGGAATGGTCTGAAGGCAGGTGAGGGGTAAGAGTGTGGTGTCAGTGGGTGCAGAGACAAGGCTTGAATGCAGGGAAACCTTGAAGGGAAGGGAGAGTCAGCGTGGTCACCGTCAACGAGGGGAAAGTGGGATCGGGTTTTTGTGAGTCAGTGCGAAGGATAAAGGAGGCAGGGAAATGATGGTGGGGGACAAGGGCAGCTGCTGGACTGAGGTCCTGGGGGTTGAGGCCCAGGGCCAATGGGGGCCTGAGAGAGAAGGGAGCCGTGGGCTGACAGGTGTGAGCGCAGGTGCAGGCAGGCATGTCTGGGCACTCACTGAGGGGTCAACGCGGGCAGGGGGAGTGGCCAGAGATGGTCTGAGGAAGGAGGAGTAGGAGGGCTGAGGGTGGTACCTCATAACCCAACATCTGAGCTCAGCTCACAGGGCAGACTCACCTAGAGAGTGGTGGGCACGAGTGACCACAGTGCCTCACTGTAGAAAGCAGGTGGCGGGTGGACATATGGAGGGACCACTGGGACTCAGTGGGGGAGGGGGAGTTGGGACAGGTAGAGGGTCCACAGTGACATGTGGAGGGATCTCTAGGCCACAGGGATTCCAGACTGCAGAGTTCAGGAGGGTCTGTGAGTGCTGTCCTATCTGGGCAGTGATAAGAAGAGGCACGCGAGGGGAAGCAGGGACTCGGCAGGGGCCGGGCACCGGGCAGAGGGCTTGCTGTCTTTGGTGCAGAGTCCTGGTCACCTGGTGCAGGTCTGCCTTCCTAGACTAACACATGAAATAACTCAGCTCTCTCTTCCGCCAGCTCTCCTCTCCGCCTCACTTATTTTTTGTTGACTAAAGCCACTATGCCCGAGTTGATTCTGACTCAGTGACCCTCTAAGACAGAGCAGGACTGGTCCTCGGGTCTCCAAGGTCGGGAATTTTCAAGGAAGCAGACTGTTCCATCACCTTCCGAACAGCAGCTGAGTGCACTGGCTGAATGCAGTAACTCTCAGGTCTGCTGTTTCCTCAGGTGAGTGAGCGGTGCATTTCTGAGGTACACGGGTGTAAGGTGGTGGCCTCTCCTCACCGTGCCTGGCTGAGGGGCCGCTGCAGTCATGGAGCACATTCCAGCCGAGTCAGTGGACACAAGTGCCTGCGCGTGGTAAGGCAACCCCGGAATGAGGCCCCTGCAGTGACTCCTTGTCTTTAAGTGTGAATTATTCATCAATTGGTTTTAAAAAATTGTCTCGTTAAGGGCCTCCCCATGTCCCACAAGACCACAACAAGCTGAGTTAGGGAACCTTCAGCCCATGAAGGAAGGGAGACAATTCCGGTAATGAAATTGCTTCTCCCGCCCGTTTAAATGAGTCTGAGGTTTGCGGATTTCATAGGTCACTCATGGCTGGAGTAATCTTCCCAGAAAAGAGAAAAGTACAGCTCACTCCCCAGGAGCTGGCCCAGCAGCAGGGACTCCCGAGACGGGGCGCTGCCTGAATCAGAGCTCACAGCAGTGTGAATTCAAGAGGTGACCCTTGGGCTGGCTGCAGTCTGTGACGTGGAGCCGGGGACCAGGGGGTATTTGGGGGCGTGAGTCACCCGCACTGCCCGGCAGCCTTGGCCTCCCAGGACAATGCTGAAGGAAGCCTCTCCAGAGGGCCTGGCCTTACACAAACAGCGCCATAGCCACTGAGTCCCTGAGGGCACATATGGCAGTGAGCTACAGACTGGAGGTTCAGGTTCACCTGCAGCCACAGGCAGAGACCAGCACTGACCGGAGCGCTGACCTATCGAGACCGCAGATGCCGCCAGCCAGAGCTGCACCTGCTGCTCCACCCTGGCCCGCAGCAGCGCCATCGTCTGTGACAGCAGCTTTGTGACTGCTTGTCTCACCCATGGCGCACAGGTGGCAATCGGGCCCCGCCTCTGGGCATTCCGGAAGAGGGGCACAGGAGACCCCGAGACAGCTCCACTGGAGCCCACGGGTGGGCTGGCGGGGCGTTCCGTGAACGGCCAGGGGGGCGGGCCAGGAGCCAGCAGGAGTCCGAGCCCGTGTTAACACACGTCCACGGCCCCCATCCTGACGCACTCTGCCTGCTGCACGGCGGGGTCCTTCCTGACACCGTCACACCTGCTTGGTGACAACCTCACCTGTGCTTTCACGTCCACTAGGAGACAGGCAGCTATGCTAATGAGAAAGGACTGGCTACAAAACGGCCTGTGGCTGCAGAGTACGGGTCAGTTCTGGGCATCTGTCCACACCAAGGTGCTGCCATACAATGAGAGCGAGCTGTGTGGACATCAGCAAACCCAGGATGCGTGAGAACAGGGCACAGGGACCGTGCTCTGTGGAAAGCAGGACTCCGAGAGGAGGAGCTCGGGGAGAGGCGGGGTTATGCCGTGCCCCGCCTCCATCTCCCCAGGGAAGGGGGGGGGCGCTGATTTGGGTGCTGGCTGCAGGCCCAGCTTGGGTGACATATGCAAATTTGTGCATGTGTAAGTTGCTTCTGAAAAAGTAAAGCCAGAACAAAAAAGCTAACGTGCTGTCTCCTTCTCACCCTACCACCCATTTGGTGAAATAATTCCCAAATGCAGGATATTGATTAAAGATTAGAAATGAAACATTGAAAGGCTGGAAAAGATATCTAGCGAAGACGCCTGGCACAGAAACAAAACACCCATTTAGAAGGTCTGTGTGTATACACTCCCAGAGAGAGAGACACACACAGGAGGGGGATTTCTTTACAGGAGACCCTGAGTTCTGAGCCCGTTGTGGGACATAGCAACTACACAGGGTCCCAGAGAGTCAGAAGGAGAGGTCGGGGAGCTGGGGCGGGAGCGTGGGGGCGGGAGCGTGGACACGTGAGGTGGGCGCTGGGTGTGTGACGGCCCGGCCCTCCTCACCGAATCCCACCCCAGCTGGAGGGCCTCGGAACGGGCTGAGGGGCGCTGGCAGCTGTGTGCTGGGAGGAAGCCGAGGAGGTGCCCGCTTCCAGCTGAAGGGTGTGTGCATGTGGAGGAGCCTTTGCAGGGCTGTAAGGGTCAGGAGAGATGGACACGTGGATACTGGCCAGCGCATAGGCAGCGAAGGGCAGCGTGGCTCCAGGGCTCTGCGCTCCGGGAGGCGGGAATGAAGATGGGGACAGAGGGGCGGGAGACGCCGACTGTGAGTACCCCCCATGCCTGCCTGTGAGCTTCGCCCCTCATCTTAGCCATGACAGCACCGCCGACCCCTCGCTCCTGCTCCCTGGGCCCCCACGCCCTTGAAGACCTAGAAGCCCCTGTGCTCCCCCAACCTGGCACACATGCCGGAGACCTGCGTGGGACTCCTCTCTCCTGGATTCCTCATTTGTCTACACTCGGCCACAACCTCTCAGTAAGAGGGTCCAGAACCAGCAGTGAATGATTGAGGGAGGAAGGAGGAAGCCGTGTGGGCAGGAAGGTCACAGAGCTGCACAGTGAGAGCTGTGCGGCCCCTCAGTGGGCAGAAGGGCACGGAAAGCGGCCCACACGCATCCTGTTCACACGGGGACTAACATGGCCCCTGTGACACGGGGCCCAGGGACTACACTCCGTCCTGGGCTCAGTTTCACACTGTTGAGCCACAGGGTGCCAGCTGGAGCCACAGGGTGACCCACAATTCTTGGGCTCTCGGGCCCCAGTCTTGGGGTAGCAGGATGGAAGTGTCCAAGAGGTGGATTTGGGGCAGCAGCCCTCACAGGAGGGGAAGTCCCAAAAGCACACAACTCCAACTGTAAGCTCACAGGACCAGTGGAGCCAGCTTGGAGCAAGTCCCCAGGGGCAGCCCTGAGGTGTCACAGGCAGACAGTGCCCCCTGGGGCCTGCAACAGCTACAGATGCAGACAGCCTATCCAATCTTATCCTTTTCTCCTCCCAAGCCCCCTGTGTCAGATCTGCTTTATAAGAGGGGGCCTATATATAGTATTTGTCCTTTTCTGACTGAGATATTTCACGCAGCATAATGTCCTGCAGAGTCACCTATGCTGTGTAATGTTTTGAGTTCACTGGTTTTCAGAGCTGTGTAGTTATTCCATTGTAGGAATAAACCACAGTATCTATCTGTCATTTGTTGGTGGGCACCTGGGTTGCTTCCATCTCTCTGCCACTGTAAAAAACGCAGCAATCGACATGGGTGTGCATGTAGGTGTGTGGACGGTGGTTACGGTTTCTTCAGGGTATATTCCCTGTATGAATATTGAAAAAAACCAAAACAGTGAACTGGGGGAGAGGGGGAGGGAGGCAGTAAAACTGTGCAACAATGAATGAATGAAAATCTAACTTTTCTGTAAACTTTCATTAAATGACAATTACATTTAAAAAAATTTATATAAAAAATAGAATAAAATAAAAAAGAAAGCAGATGGCCAGGTCTTCCCTAAGGTGCCTATGGTGGAACTGAACTTCTGGTCTTTTGGTTAATGGTGGTACACCTAACCGTTTGTCCACTCAGAGACCCCATGCTCAACCCATCCAGTCACGATCTCTGCTTCAGAAGGGTTGACATCACACCCAGCTGGCCGCTCTGTGGGTCCAGCGCCCCGGCAGCAAGTGAGCAGGCGGGACCCTTGGGGGACTCACCCGGAATGCGGTGCCTTCCTCGATGATGGTTGGCAGCTGAGAGAGGCAAATGTCCACGGCCAGGTCCCACGCCTGCCTGGGGAGAGCAGAAGGGACCATGTGATGATTCATGGGCCTCCCAGGGAGGTGCACCCTCTCCCTCAGGCTGCAGACAGACACACGTGTCAGATGGCCACCATGTTGTCCAGGTGGACTTGGGGGAGGGAGCACCGGGGACAGGCCCGCAGGGGTCCCACAAGGGTATGGGCCGGTGGCTTGCACAACCACTCGACTTCTCCCACATCAAAACGGGCAATCGTGCAGTTAGAAGCCGCTCCTGTAACACGGCCACTTCACCCACTCGACGTCCCAAAACCCAGCTGGAAAGGTCAAGGGGTCTTTCTGACACTTGCTCCCTTGTTAAAGTGGACTGTCCACACCTGCAGCACGCAGGGCCCCCACCACCTCCTGCCAGTGGCCTGTCCACCCACCCGCCCGGTGGGCAGAGCTTCTCCACGGTCCTGCGCTGAGGCAGATGACTCATGCTGCTTCCACAGCACTCTTACAGAACGGTGGGGAACGGGGCACTGGGCTCCTGCAGGGTGGCAGCCGCACCTGCGGAAGCCTGGGCCACTCCCGGGCAGTGTCCACGTGGTCTGATGGCACCACTGAGACACGTGCGCTTGGCCCAGGTTCAGAGGACGGCTCCATTCTCTCCATGCATAACTTTTCACCCTGAACTGCTCTCGGACACACCCAGTGCCCTTCCTTGATGTCTCAAGTGTCACTCATGTCATGCTGACCAGCAGTGGGCTCACGAGAGAACGGCACAGAGAGGGTCCACACGAGCTGCTGCTGTGACAGGCTACGTGATGGGTCAGGACCGGGCAGGGTGGCGATGGGGCAGCCCTGACTGGATGACGCTGAATGACAGGGATGGTCTCAGAGCTGTTGCCAGCCTGGCCGTGGGCCTCTGGCTGCCTCTACGTGAATTTGGAATTGTGCTGTCAGAGACAACGTTGCCCCTCATGGTATGAGGCTGATCTGCTGGAGAGGATTCGGGTGGGCTGCCACACTCCTCATTTGGTCACAGCCCTGATTCAGTGGAGGGGACATCTCCTCAGAGGTGTGGCCTGCACTGGATGTATAGACGCCAGCAAAGCTCACCAGCTTTTGCTCAGGCTGGATCCTTCACCTGGCTTTCGACCTCTGCTTCTGTGGAGGGGACACCACGGCGACCACATACCATGCCAGTCTCGGCTAGTCAGCTCCCAGCCGGCGCGCTGCCTTCTCACTCACACACTGCGGGACCTCGGTCCCCACAGCTCCGAGTGGGAGACACCTCTGGCCCTCCCCACCCACGGACCCGGGCTCTGCAGCCTCCGCTCGCCCAGGAGATGATTACACATAAGCATTCCTGGTTGTGCTGCTGGCCCGTGCTGGGGCGTGTGCTGACCGCACTTGCTCCAGGATGGACGTGTCCGTTCTGCTGGCAGGACGTGGTATAGTCACTACTCTTCACCGAGTCCACACTCAAAGACATCAATCCTCCTGTCTTCGTAGCCACTGTGCCACTTTCATGTGCATCAGTGGAAGCACCCTGGCTTGGGTGCTCGACGTGACTCTGCCTTCTAGAAGAGCTTGACAGAGGCTTCTGGGGACTCTTCAGAAGCCATCACTGCCACACCAGGGCTGTGGGAAGGGGGGCTGTGGTGTCTGCGTGGGCTCCTGGAGGGGTGTCCTTGCTCTCAGGATCACTGGCCTGAGGACCATGCAGGTGATCTGCTCTTTATTGCGCCTCAGGACTCAGAGAGATGCCAGGAAGCTAGTGCACAGGTGGGAGGAGCAGGCTGGTGCAGGGAGACAGGTTCACACCTGAGGCTATCAACCCGCTGAGGGCAGGAGGCAGAAAGGCAGGAGTGAGAAGATGAGCACCTGGGACGACGCCAGATCACAGGTCTTACAGGGCAAAATGGCATAAAGCTAGACTGTTGGAGGCTTGACCCACAGGCCAGAGAGCAGGGACAGGGAGGGAGGGCTCACAGCACAGAGAGGGGGATGGGGGGACTGGGTCCAAAGGCCAGAGAGCAGGGGACAGGGAGGCAGGGCCCACAGCACAGAGAGGGGGACAGGGCGGACTGGATCCACAGGTCAGAGAGCCGGGGACAGGGAGGCAGAGTCCACAGTACAGAGAGTAGGGGATGGGATCACTGGGCCCAAAGTACAGAGACTGGGAGACAGGGAGGCTGGGCCCACAGCAGAGAGACTGGGGAATGGGGGGATTGGGCCCATAGTGCAGAGCATGGGGGCTGGTGGGCTAGGCCCACAGTACAGAGGGTTGAGGGACAGGGAGGCTGGGCCCACAGTACAGAGGGTGAAGGATAAAGGGCACTAGCCCACAGCACAGACAGTGGGGAGACAGGCTGGTCCCGTCACAAAGGGAGAAGGCCAGAGGACCAGACCCAACCTGACGTCTGACCAGGTCAGAAGTCCAGGAGCACTAACATGAGACATAACCTACGGAACAGCCACTGGGCAGTGTCCACCAGACGGAATGCAGAGCTGGGGCGTGGGGCCAGCAGTGGACCCTGACCCTGGGCCATCTCTGTCTGGTGAGTCGCACTAGGAGCCCACACCGAGCACAGCTGGGTTTGGGGAACCAGCTCAGATGGCAGGCGCCCAAGAACGGGACAAACCCCGAGGACGCCATCTCCTTCCACGTCCACACTGATCGATCAGAGCAGCCGTGTAGTGTGGACACACAGGCCATTACCGTGAGGAGTGTGGGCTCTGGACACGGATGGACGTGAAGGAGATGGCTCCCGGGTGGGCAGGCATCAAAAATTCAACAGGAAACAGCTCTGAGAATTTCATCATTAGCGCCCTGCCTGAGGCAGGGTGCAAAGCATGTCACTTCTGCTTTAACCTCGATTTTTGTTCGACTTTGTTTCCTTCACCCCCGGCTAATGCTTCAGCCTCTCTACCACCACCCAGGGATGCCGAGACTGCAAACAATTTATTCCAACGCACTTTCTTCCTACTTTCCTGGGCGCTCCCCAGGGAGGCGCAGCGCTGGGTGCTCCAGCACACCCCCAGACCGTGCCAGTGAACCTGGCTACTGAGGACCCCCCACCCCTGGCTTCTCCGCAGCATGGGGACTCTGGCCTGGAGCCCCTTCCTGTGCCTTGCCTTGTGGCACCTCCTCCTGCACCTCCTCTCATAACCCTTCCTCTGCTGTACTCCTGCACCACCTCTCGTAACCCCTCCCTCCGCTGTACTCCTATAAGCCCTCCTGTAACCCCTCCCTCTGCTGCCCTCCTGAACCCCCTGCTGTAGCAGCCTCTCCTTCCCTGCCCTCCAGTACCTCATCCTGTACCCCCTCTTTCCCCTACAGCCTCTCCTACACCCCACACACCGGTCCCTCACAGAGGAGGCTGCAGGGCACTCATGCAAGGACATGAGCATTCAGGATTCCTGGAGGTGGCCCAGGTTGGTGGCTCTGGTGGCCAGCAGGTGCTGATGTTTTTGGTTCCAGGAGCACACTCTTCCCCTGGACCTGCTCCGTGAGGCAGAGGCTGCGAGGCCTTCACTACACAGCCCGGCGTTACTTCACACGTGTCCAGGAGGGTTTCCCGTGCTCCTGCCGAGCCCGCAGAGCCAGTGCCTGTCCACAGGTGTGCGCTGCCTGGTGTCAGGAAGCCACCGTGCGTGGCCACTTCATGTCCACGTGTCCACTCTTCCGTCCGATAACCCCGTTTGCAAAGTGCGTAACACACAGGGTGCATCTAATGCACGTGACCACCTTCCAGCTTGGGATTTAACAAGCTCTGTCCATGTGGCCACATAGCTGTCAGTGGACACGGAGCCGACCCCAGCCAGGGTCCCAGGAGTGTCCCCTCCATGTGGAGTCCTTGGTTACGGCTTCTGCATTTCTGTCCACCAACATCCGCACCAACGTGACTTCACCTTCAAAATCAGCTTTTTGTGTCCCAAAGGTCGACACACTCTCCCCATGGCTGCGTAGTTCCAGACAGCAGCGGGAGGGAGCCCTGGTGGGACAGCACTGACCTGCTAACCAGAAGGTCCGCAGTTCAAACCATGCAGCTGCCAATCAAAAGGCTGGCAGAGGACCTGCAGGAGACAGGCCTGGTGACTCGCTTCTGTAGAGAAGACAGCCAAGCAGACCCTTTGAGGCAGATGCTTCCGGGTGGAACCAACGTGGGGCAGTGGGTGTGGCTGCCAAGTGTTTACAACAGTGAGGGACACTGGCGCCACCGCCCTTGCCCTCACGCCAGGACCACACTGCCCCGCCCCGCATCACAGTCATCCTTTGGCCTGGCACATGCTGCAGTCAAGTTGTGACCAACTCAGTCACCTGTCCAGCGGGCTTTCAGGGCCCACTGACCGCATGGGAGGAAACGGGCCCCCTTTCTCCCCGAGGGGCTGGTGGATTCCAATGCCAGACAGCACTGCCTCCTGCCTCCTGGGTCAGCGGCTCCAAACTCCCTGACATGCAGCTGTTGTCATCAGGGGTCCTCGGGCCACCCCCGTGAGCTTCAGGCCCGCACCCCGCTCTCCTGCATCTTCTCACCGACCCTGCCCTGCTCCAGCCCACTGCCGCTGCAGTCACTGACTGCGCCAATCCATCTCATCGCGTCTTCTCTTTCTACGGCCCTCCACCTTCCCGAGCAGGACGTCCTCTGTCCAAGGGCTGGCCGCTCCTGAAAACATACTCCACAAGTGTGGAGCTGCATCCACCTTTAGATTTGTCGGTTCTCTTGGCAGTCTATGGGCGGCTCAGCACTCTTCTCCAACACAACTCAGAGACACTGATTCTTCTTCTGCCGTCCTCATTCACTGTCCAACTTTAAGCTGCACAGAAGTGACGGAAAGGTCACGGGTTGAATCAGGTGCACCTTAGTCTTTAAACTGGCATCTTTGCTCTTAGCACTTTGGAGCGAGAAGTCTTTGACAGCAGAGTTCCCAAAGGCTTGGGAAAGGGGCTGCCACTCAGCAGGGACGGGTGTCACCCCTCACATATCCACCCCTCATGTCCACCTCCTTACACAAGTCCACCTCTCTCACACGTCCACCCCCATACACATCTACCCCACATACGTCCACACCCCACACACGTCCACCCCCTCACACATCCACACCTCACACGTCCACCCCTCACACACGTCCACCCCCTCACACGTCCACCCCTCACACGTCCACCTCTCTTACACGCCTACCCCTCACATGTCCACCCCTCACACATGTTCACCCCTCACACGCCCACCTCTCACACATCCCCCCCCTCAGATGTCCACCCCTCACACACATCCACCCCTCACACGTCCACCTCTCTCACACGTCCACCTCTCTCACACGTCCACCCCCTCACAC